ATGTGATTTTTTGTAACTGTTTGAAATTCATAATATCCCTTATTAGAAATTTTCTTTTTCAGTTTAATTCTTATCATTTCATCATCACTTTTACATCTAGGTAATACATTGCTCATTTCAGTCAAATTTGATGGCACAGAAACTATCTCACCTAATAATTTTTTATCATTTTGTGGACAGACTTTAACTAGTTTCAAGAATAGAATATTTTTACATACCAGGTGTTTCTCTAATTGATTTAAGCATTTCAGTTCATTAGGTAATGGACCAGGATCCATGTCATTTACAATAGCCTCAGCCGGCATTTTACCTTGTAGAATTTTTTTATTACATGTTAAACATATCCAGAGAGTTTTATAATTATCAGACCAGCAACAATCATTAATAATACAAATGTCATCACAAACATGATAGTAAGTATTAGTTATACATTTCTTTGCTAATCTTTCTACTAGTTTACTTTTCTTTTCATAAAGTTCTTCTTGACACTCTTTAACTTGATTTTTAAACAATAATCTATTACAAACAGAACACACATAAATAGGACCTTCAGAACTATCTGTTTTAAATTGATTAATAACTTTATCAATACTACTCATTTCTTTTCTTTTGGTAATTCGTCTTTTATTTCTCAGTTTGTTTACTTTGACTTTATTGTTGGTATAATTTTTTCTAGATTTCTGTTTTTGTTTATTTCTATACTGTAAATTAGTTCTATACATATTTCTATATTTATTTAAAATTTTTTTCCTCAATTCATTCATATACCTTTGCTTCAGTTTTAACTTTATTTCATCTATATATTTACATTTTAATTCCCATTTTAAGACTTTTTGATATTTAACCTTTAGCTTTGGTTTTAAGATTGTTTGATATTTGTTCTTCAGCTTTGGTTTTAATATTTTGTGATATTTGTCCTTCAGTTTTGGTTTCAAAACATTTTGATATTTGTCTTCAAGTTTTGGTTTTAATACATTTTGATATTTGTCTTCAAGTTTTGGTTTTAATACATTTTGATATTTGTCTTCAAGTTTTGGTTTCAATACATTTTGATATTTGTCTTCAAGTTTTGGTTTTAATACATTTTGATATTTGTCTTCAAGTTTTGGTTTTAATACATTTTCATATTTGTCTTCAAGTTTTGGTTTTAATACATTTTGATATTTGTCTTCAAGTTTTGGTTTTAATATTGTTTCATATTGAGTATGTAGTGTAGACCTTAATTGATTTGTATATTTTCTTTTTAAATGAGCTTTAATATAACTAATCTGATATTGTTTTCTCCTCCTTTTATTCAAATTATTAATTTCTTTTTTGGTTCTAAATGCAAGTTTCCAGTTTGATCTGACTTTTTGTCCAGAATTTATT